GCTGTTAAGTCTACATCCTTAATCACGAAGAGTTTCATCTTTCAGCCCAACACCCAGTTTTGCTTTTTACAGATACCGTTTACCAAAAGAGGAACCATCAACTGCTTTAATATTGAATTCATTCTGCGATCATTCTGTGACTTGTGTCCTCATATGACCTATCTGCCTTAGGCACACTCACCTTATTTGCTCTTTAACATAAACTACTTCACCGTCATTCATTTACTCTTAAATCAAGATTACAAAAAATCATCTTAGCTCCGTTACTCGGTTTAAATCATTGGTTTGAATCACATAATATATTTTAAGAGTCATTATTTCAAATTTACTCTCTCAGTCATCATGGTTACAGCACAGCATTTCTGATCATACAGTTTTTCATATTGCTCACTCAGAGCCAGTGTTCTTTGTTAGTGGCTGCTTCTGGGATCTCAAACCTTGACTCCACTTGACACTACTGTCAAACCACATAGATTAGATAAGAGAGGGACAGTCCGACTGTCCGACAGAGAAATCTAATCCATATCTCTTGCAAGAAGATTGCGTCCACTCAAACTCAAGTAAATCTCAAACACTCTGTACTCAGTGTCAGATCTGTAAGCAACAAATCATTTAAAAAAAATAGTTTTATCTCCTCTTACAATCTTGATTTTATGTTTTTAACTGAAACATGGCTCAACAAAAACACCGGTAATGCACTTCTGATTGAGTGTGATCCACCTCACTTGAGTTTTGTGTCTGAAACATGACAAAACCAGAGGAGTGGGGGCGTTTGTGCCATATTCAGGGACAATATGCTCACCCACAAGTTGTCATTTGGGGTTTTTTCATCATTTGAGAACGTGGCATTCAAACTGGAGTTAAAACAATCAATCTTCTATACTTTATATCACCATTTAAAAAACCCCACAGAATTGTCTTATTGATGATTTTACAGAATTACTTTCAGTTGTGTGCACTGATTTGACTGTTTAGTCATTACAGTCCTTGAAATGCTTGGTCTTCTTCAGCATGTGAGTGAGCCTACCCTTACCAGAGGACACACTCTAGACCTGGTCATTTCAGAAGGTGTTATTATTTCAAATGTGAATGTTGTTGATGTTGCTTTATCTGATCATTTTTGTGTTTTCTTTGACCTGTTCCACCCAAACCAGCAGTTGTGTCTGCAGTTATTAAGAGAAGACACATAAATGATAAAACAAGTGCAGAGTTTATGGACAGGATTAGATTTGAAAACATCCCATGTTCTAATGTTGATGATCTGTTGAACTCTTA